TTTTCTTTTACATACAGTAAAAGTCATTTCATTCCAAATTAGCTGTGATATAAGTCTCAAAGACCTGAAAAATCATTTGAACTATAGGGTATAAATTTGACCAGAATTACATGATATACTATATACTGATATATTTTTTAAATATTCTATTCTGCAGTTGGTCAACCTATTTATGATTCACGGAGACCCCTTGAGAGCCCTGCAGAGAAACCTGGAAGCTCCCTGTACACCGGTTTGAGAGGCACAGATATAGGTCACCTTTGTTAAATCATGTGTGTCGAAGAGCAGACGAGGCTTCCAGCCAAAATAATTCTCAGATGTGTGGACCCAGATTTAAACCGCCACCTATTCAGGATGATTGGGTGCTGTAAAAAAAAAAAAAAATTGTGCTAACTGTTGTTCTACAAGCCAAAGGCAACCAGGCCCTTCGAATATTGTGTTACAATAACTCTAACATCACCTCCGGTTATTTGACTTCTTAATTTAATGCTCACATACAATACAGCATACACATATGTTTTCCTTTACATCTCACAAACACAAAAGCAAACAGTTGAATACGTTGATAACTTTTAGCACCGGTATAGAGCACTGATCCACTCAGCTTTCTCTAAAAGTCTTATTCATAGTGACTTTCAAAATAAAACAGCTTAGTTTGATCTCACTAGGCATGGCTTACATGGAATATCTTTACAGCAGCATTCACTTACAAAGGTTAATTGATTAAAAAAGGATGCATACTGTACACCAAAAGTGGTATACAAAAGCAATATCATCTTATATACCCATTTACATGGCCTTTTGGGTTTTCTCAGTATAACATTTAAGTGTTTCGTGTGTTCTGACAACTTGTGTATCAACACTGATGCTCAATAAAAACATAGAAACATATAATTTAAAAAAAAAATGTTCTTATGACTGTACATAAAGAGGCTATGGAGATAGGTGGCGTGTAACAATCTTGCATATTAAAACATTAATATATCACGTTCACAAAGCTCTCACTTTTCTTTATATGTGTATGTACAAGAGAGCTGCTGTCCTTCTGTGTAGGCTATTGTTCTGTTTTTGTTAGGCTGTACTGTTTTTAATATGAAAATTATAATTAAAAAAAGAAAGGCAAATTCAATGGGAACATTACTTTTTCGTCATACAGTAATGTGAAAAAATAGTATCAAAAATGATTTTCTAAATCTCTCAATCAAAAAGCGACGTAGTCTTTAATGCACCGTTTTTTTAAATACACTCGTAGATATGTTTGGTAAACGAGAAAACGAGATCTGATAGTGACATTTGACAAAATGAGACTTTCTTAAGGTATAAACTGTTTTCTGTTATACATTGCTTGTCTGATGACGGATATACTGTATATATAATCTGCAGCAGACAGATGTTCTGCCAATGAAGGTTTGTGAGACAAAAGAGATTTTAATGATTCAAATATGTTATATAATGCGTATGAAGGATGTATTCCACAATATGATGGGTTTAGATCAAACTTTATGCCAGACATAAGACAAGAGGAAGGGATGAATCATAACTCTGGGAAACTTAGCAAAATTTCTGCTCTGTAAGCCAATGGCAAGGGAGTAAGCTGTCCAGGTCTGAGGCGCACCAGTTCAAAGTCAAAATGTTTGAGTCTCTCTGCCCCCGAGTATTTTAGAATCAGTATGAGGTGGTTGGCTGTAGTGCACAATGGATGCAGCGACTGAATCGTCAGCTCCTCTTGGCTTTATTTACCTTTACACAGTGTTTGCTTAGTGTTTAGTTGTCTGGCTATTTTGGGTCAATCTCATAGCATAGTGCAGTGGTTTACGCAGTCACCTAACAACTTAAAGATCCCCAGTTTAATCCTGGAAGGAGACACAAATCCCTTAGGTGCCTTAGGATGTCAGGAAAAAAAAAATGTAAATGTCATGTAAAAAACAAACACGTGGAGACCTTTGTGAATAAGGGAGTAGCTGAAAGTAGCTTCTTCTTTTCATAGCGTAATTTTTTGCCACTACAGATTTGAGTGAAGAGTCTCTAAACAACCCATTTATACTTCATCTGCTCAGCACTTAAGGGCTGACAGTCAGAATTAGGAGCCCAACAGTGAACAAAAAGGAGCCTCTAGCATTTTAGGAGGTGGTGGAGACCAAAACTGGAGTTAAAAGATTTAAGTTGACCTGAATATGGTGACCATAAAAATAACTCCAAATGAATAATAAGCTTATTAAATGATGCTCATTATCATGTTTGATATAGAAACTTTAAAGAAAAAATCAATATGTGCAGATTTTTACGATGTAAGACCCAAACTAATCTGTGATACTAGTTAATCAACCTAACATTTACAGAATTTAGATGGATACGGTCTTGTGGTGTGACCTTGCTAATGTTAAAGTGCTAAAGTTACCAACAAATGCCTTTATGATAGAGATAAATGAAAGACTGAAACAATACAGTTATTCAGTAGTTCATATAACTGATTTGCTTTTATACTTTTGGGGCAGATAAGGAACAGATCCACCTTACTTCCGGGAACTCTAAATGAAGTGGCAAACCTCATGACTCTACTTTCTTCCCATTGGCTAACAGACCTGCCTTCCCCAGATGTGACCTTCCTCAAATATCCTGCTGGATTTAAGAGGTTAATAAACTGTAGTCAGTTTTCAGAACTTAGTCTGCTTAAGCTTGTCGATGTGGTAGCAAAGCTTCAAGGCCGGCCCCAGCTTGAGTCCGAGGTACTTCATGATCATGTCGCTCTTTAAGAGTAACAAAGCATTTCCATCTATCTCCTGTGAAAGGCAGAGGAAGATGGTGTGAAACTCAGTGAGGACCTGAGGTTTAGTCTAGCCAGGTAAATCAGCAGCATAACACTTACATGTTTCCTAAAAACATCTGCGTGAGGACCTAGAGCCTGGGGATCTGCATCCCTGATGAACCATACAACATCTTCCACAGACCAGGTGGATGGGTCTTTATTGGGCGGAGCCTTGGACTCCTGCGATTCTGAAGACACATTATAACCTCAAGAAAGAACAAATGAAAGATGGAGAGTTACTCTTGTACCTCAGAAAAATAAAGGCCGCATCAATGCTTGATTTATCTCTTGATGGTGTCATACCTGTCCTGTTGCTCTCCGGGAACGCGTTTGGGCTGGTGGATGACTGCCTGCACATGGAGGCTGAGCCATTAGAGAACTGCTGTGAAGAGCGAAACCCGTAGGTGGACTTTGGTGAGTAGGACGAACTTATGGAGCTGAAAGCGGAATCGCCAGGGTCAACGGAGTAGCGTTTGCCATCTGACTGGTCTAAATGGTAGTCATCAGCCATTGATGTTTCAGCTAAAGAAATGATGGAGACTTCTGTTAGTGATAAAAATCCCCCACAGATTCAAAGTATTTGTTTATATTAGTTCAAGAACTTAATTTGGAAGTACCATCTGACTGGTAGGAGCCACCGCTGTGCTGTGTAATGGGCTGATCACTGAAAAGGTTTTCACAGTGCAAGCTGCGACAAAGCTTCTTCAGAAAACGAAGCACATAGTCGATGCTGTTCACCACGGGGAGGCTCAGAAGATGCTGCTTCCCATCAAATGTGGCTGGAAGAGCAAAACAGAAGACCACTTGAAATGCAGCTTAGACAAAAGTTTCTTATAAGTCAGACAATGAAACCTTTAATATTTGTTTTCTCTCTCAGTAACACCTTAGGGAGTGTGCTAAAGAAGCTATTAAACAAACAGATAACAACACCTGAAGGGGGTCTTTGTACAACACCTGATATTTTTTCTCCTCCGTAGCCTTGCGTGAGGAGAGTGAACACCGTTTTCTGCTGGAAAGCACTGTCGATGCAGCCCTGAACGGCCTGCTGAAGCACCACAGAGGGTCTGTCGGGCCCAAAGTGATCGGGAAGCTGTTGGATCTTCTTCCTGTCCAGGTTGGGCCCAGTGTTCGCCTGCTTGTTGATGTAGATACAGACTGGAAAACACAAATGAAGAAAACGAAGGAAAGGAGAAATAGCAGAAAAACATAAGGGGAAAAAGAGATCATATGCTTTTTTTTTTGTCTTTAAGCTAACAGAAAAGCACTTTAAAGCTTCTTAAGTGGGATTAACAGCGTATTGTATTTTACCTGTGAGCACCTGGGGCGTGGCAGAGTGGGGGATGGTGGCAGCATCCTGAGGAATGGAGCTCATATCGGGCTCTGGGGTGCTGCTGGGTGGAGAAATAGCCAGTGGTGTCATCACCATCCTGGGTTTGAGCTGGAGAGGAAGAAGGGGAGTTTGTATCGCTATGTCTGTTTTGGAAATATCATTTATTTATGCACACTAAATCATGCAGGGAGGATTAGGATTGTTTAACACTGTAGTTTTCATGCTTTGGCCTGTATGAAAAGAAAACAAATGTGCTGATAATAATGTCCTCTTTAGGCTAAAAAATAATTCCATAACACAACAGAACAAAGCCTCACAGATGTTAACTCCAACTCTGTTTATGCTGGGATCCCACAAAATCTGAAGGGCATGGAGTCTCCCTGTCTGTGTACACATGTATTTTTAAACACACTGCACCCACACACACACTACAACTCATCCACCAGCCCCCCTTCCCCTTCCCCATTTGGCTGACCTTGAAGCCCGGCTTTCTCCCCCTCTTCTTGGGCACTTTGAGTGGAGGGAGCGATTCAGGGTAGCGATTAGGAAAATCCATCTTGGCGACATTGCGGAGCGGAGGTCTCCCTCTCTTCCTGCCCGGTATCTTCCCCGCCTGGCTGGGGATGAAGGAGGGAGCCACTGCAGCTGATTGCATCTCACCGTTGTTGCCGTCTGATTTCTGTGCCGTCACTGCAGGTACGCTCATTTGTAGCTGGACACAAAGGAAACAATGAGTGAGCTCAAACAAGGGCAAGGGAAACGCATTGAAAACATGCACTTTAGTTGCACATCAATACTCCTCTGTAGCCGCTGCATACTAGAGTGCAGCATTAGCATGAATTCAGAGGAAGCAGACGCAATTGGCAAAGGTGTACCAACAGTAACATCCAAACACTAGGAGACTGCAGAAAACTCAGCCGAGC